TGATTTATACTTCACTTAGTTTACTTCCTTCAATCGAGATGGGTCCAGTCTATGGAATGCTCTGACTTACACTTCATCTATCAACATCGAAACGGTGCTGACGATCCGAAACCGGATCCTAGGTGAGTGTGTGCCAGGCCCACCACCCCCATCCCAGCTCTCGGTTGCTGGCAGGAATCAAGCGAAGGCCGCCCACCGGACTGGAGGGGGAAAACTGTATACGAACTGCTGGGGCATCCTCCTAACCCACGGAGTCCAATGACCAGTTTCCCGTTGGTTCACAAGTCTCGAACCAGAGCCCACAGTCAATCTCATCTCGGTGTGAGTATCCCAAAAGACATTGTATCTCCCACGCACACACGCACACACTGTGAGGTAACATGGTCAATGATTTGGCTAAGACTATTTACAAGTGTGGTCACAGCAATACCTTCAGGACAGCATTCTTATCAACCTCTTGTGCTCAAAATAACTTTTAAGCGATTTCCTAAATTTTTGATTAAGTGATAAGTGATTATGAAGTATTGGAAAGAAATTTATTTTTAAATTTAACACAGTTAACCACTAAAAAAGAAATTGCGCTAGTTGACTTAGTTTGCCCGAATAATTAAATCTATATCAATTTGGACTCGACTACTATTGTCATAACAACTATTTGCTGGTTATCAGTGCTTTGCTGAATTCGTACTTGAGAATTTTAAGTGCACTTTTGAGAGAAAATGCCAAGATACTAAGATTTTATATCCGACGTATTGGGATATCTCTTCAATTAGAAGATTTGGTACATTAGTCTGAATAAGTTTATTTTTCTATCATCTTTGTATGATAAAACTGCAAATGTTCGCTCTAGTTGGGTGACATTCCGTGAGTTATTATTGCGACCACAGCTGTACCAACGCGGACCGACGACACGTCATGGCGTGGGAATAGAAATGAAATGCGCACGGAAAGCCGCTTAGCTGGGAGTCGCAAGATATGCGAATAAATTATGTTGGCCACCTAGCAAACACACATTCACATCTAAATCCGAATGGATATGAGATGCTATGTAATCCTCACATGTCTGGCGGGCATATTGCGTCTTTTGTTCGGAATGAAAGTGCTCTTGAAAAGAGCAGGCGCACGGGCAGCAGAATTAGCACAGTCTTCGCATGGCTACCAAAATGTTAAACTTAGCCGAGGACCGCAGACAAGAATAACAAACAAACCGCAAAATGCAATGCATTATTATCATCGGGCACAGCACGAAGGGGAGTGCAGACCCCAAACGAGTGTTTAATAATAAAATGGGGATTGATTCATTGCATACGTACATAGTGTATGTATTCTTAGGGGGTTCTATAATAAAAACAGAGATGTTCTTGCTGAATTATATATGCATAATTAAATAAGAAGAAACATTTTCTAATAATGTCCACTTGAAAAGGAAAGTGTTAGTTCTGGGTATGCTGATTTTCCTTAATTTTGACAGTTCAGTTTTTTCTCGGTGTAACTGAATGAGCTTACAACTTATCAGCAAAAGTATCCACTCAAACACTTGAGCTATTTATTCGAAATAGCTGAGCGATATGATAAAATTGCACAACATTTATAAATACGATTTGATGCTCTTGTTGAAAAAACGATTTCCATCTTGTGGTGGTGTGAAACACTTTTTTGAACTCATGTTTTCCATTCGAGGCAGTGCCAAAAAAAGAAAACAAAGACAAAATCTGTGGGCCCCAAAAAAAATTAAATTATGAACTGGGGGCGCAGAGGCACATCACAGAGAAATGCCGTCAGAGAGTACGGGAAAAAAGTGGGGACAGACAGACGGACAGACAGACAGGTGGCGATCCGGGGACTCTAGCGGTGGATTAGTCGAGCGCTGGGTGCCAAATTCGATTGCGATTCACGACGAATCGCAAAAAAATGGAATCCGAAATCTGTGCCAGCAGACGAATAACCGAACTTGGCGGGTTAAATATAAACATCTGAACGGGGAATTACTTAACATCCCCATTGTCGTGGTCGTTGTGTTTGATTTGCCAGACGATTTCACGGGGGAATGTTCCTTGAACTTGGGACCAAACCGAAAAATTGGATCGACATCGACCCGTCGGAAGACTAGCGATATGTATATTTATATACGTTAAGGTGGCGCAACGTAACAGCGCCATCGCAACGTAAACAAAGTTCCGTATGTTTCGTTAGCTTCCCTCATCTATTGCTATTCTCATTTATACACTGAGATAAATAAGAGGGTGGAAAGTGTTTCACAAAATAGGCAAAGTGTTCATCATTTTTTTAATTTTAAATATTACTTTCAAAAGTATTTACTTGTTTTTTTTTATCTTATTTTTTAATTATATAAAAAAAAACAATATAAACTAGTTTAATTTTTGTCTGTGTATTTCTATTGGCATTCCCGTTCCGTTTCCCACGTTCATGCTCTTTCATATTCGCTCAGTCGCAGTCCTTGGCGAAACGCGGCGCGTTCGATCGCCAGAGACGCTCGGTTGTTTTATTTTTTGTTAGTTCTAATTTTAAAATTTAGAAATATCCGTTAAGTTTGTCCTTCGGCCTTTGGGCCATTTCGTTAGCTACAAAAATCAGATCGCAGCAGCTCGAAAGGCTGATAAATGTAAGATAAATAGTGCGCTGCCCGGGGCGAAGCTTTTTAATTAATTTGGAATCTCTCTTAACCCGACGTGCAACAATTTTCCAATAATGGCCAAATGCAATTTACCGCTGGAAAGGGGACTGGAAAAGGGAAAATGGAAAACGGAAGGGCCGAGAGTCGGAGCAGCATATGGTCTCGGCTCCCAGGGGCGTCTGTTTGTCTCATCTTCACTCACTTTCTCCGCTCTCTTTCTACCCCTTTTTCTCTGACCCTCGCCGTTCCTCTCCCGCCATCTGGCCTTCCCGCTCAGCGTTTATCTTCTTCTTCTCTTGTTGTAATTGCTAAATTAATGCAAGCACTGATGATTATCTTAGCCCCTTCGCCATAACCGTGGGGCATATTGATTTATTGGATTTCGAAGCCTGAGCCAAAGTGTTGTGCCGGTGTGTGTTTGTGTGTGGTGATCCAAATGTGCATATTCGCGAAAAGTCAGCTATAAATATTCCATAAGTCTGAATGCACATGCATAAGTGTCGAGCAGCACAAAAGTTTAATTCAACGCGAATCTGTTGACGAAATGCTCCCAGTGACGCCTGTTCCCTCCATTCAACATAAAAGCTTTCCCTGGGACACTGAGGAAAATGCCAGAATTAATTATGCCCCTTAATATAAACAAGTCATAAGTGTAACACAAATAATTAACTATGGCTAGCCAAACACACACACAAAGGGACTAAATAAATATGGGATAATTAAGTGAAACACATTTATACAAGTTCCATAAGGGACACACAAACTAATTATGACTTTGTTCTGCACAGGAAATTATAATCCAAAAATCTGGTCAAGATTAACACTAAAGTTTGGTTTGATTCGATTTTTAACAGATTTTTTAGTTGGTACTGTGATTTGGTGCTAATATATTAATATTCTGTTATGGTTTCAATAGTGCTATTGAGTTTATACATCTAAAGCAAAATGATTATTAAATATTAAAATTTAAAATATATTTTGTACTGTCTCGATGAGATTCCTTATTTTTCCGCCTGCAGCTGCTGCTTATTTTGGAAAGTTATGAAAGCTGGGTCTTCCTCCGACCCCTTGGCAGCTGTCAACTGTTTTTATCTGTGCCATTTCCCCCCCTGGTTCCACGTTATCTGCATTTATCTTCGGTCCGTCTTGTCACTCACTTGTTGGCTTTTGTGTTGCTGCCACCCATCGTTTATGTTTTTGGCTGCACGAGTATTGGTAGTGCTATTGGTTCCGTGCTAGCTCCCGTTATTGACATTGCAGAATTATGTACATATATATATACATATGCCTGCATTCATGGGTATATATTATCGATTTCGGTCAAGCACCGTCCATTCCGCTGCAGTTTACAATTCAATTTGCAACAAACTTTCCGCTGCTGAATTCTATCTCGGTCTGCCTTTTCCTAGTTTTCCGTCAGCTCTGGCAAGTTTTATAGCTGCATTTTTGTTTATGTTTTATGCTGTCTATTTACGCATTTAATTTCGTTTTCGTGTAAATACACAAAACAGCTGAATGAGTGCCTGGCAAAGCTCAAAGAAAAACCACACACCCCACCGGCCCACACGCACACACACAGGGAAAGCATTCTTCCCTAAGTTAATTTGCAACATTTTTGTCGAAATATATTTCTTACTCTATATGAGAGCAGAGGAGGCTGGCTACATATTTGACTTTGCATTCAGCTAAAGAATTTTGCAAACTTTTCATAAACGAATATTAAGTTTTATTTTCATCAGACTCTGGGGGCTTCATTTAAATTAAATATAGGGAGCCTTTTGAATGTTCTGCTTTTATATAACTTGCAGGAATGGAATACATATCATTGCAAATTATAAATTAAATTTAAATAACGCAACTAAGCCGATGTGTAACCTGTTTTTAAAAGAATTTTTGCCTTCTGAATGAAAAATTTGTAAAACTTAGTTATAAATGTTATCTTTACGCATTCCAAAAAATATTGATTCATCTTTCGTTGGTTCAAAATATACTAGTATTTAAACAATTTCATAGACATTTTTAGCAAAACACAAGCTTGTAATTTTCGAGTACTTTAACTTAACTTTTCATGAATTAATATTTGTCTACCTCTTATTGAGCCTTAGATTATGGCTGATTATGTTGTAAATATCTATGGGATTTCTTCCTTTTCGCACCTAGCCCACTGTGCTGTGACATCAGCAACTTGGGTATCTGGGTGGGCTGCCGTAGCGACTATTTGCGGGCCTTTGCAACCTTCGCAGTGGCATTGCTTAGCGACACTCGTGATGCAATGAGCCCGAAATAGGCCGCCCAAGAATAACATTGCAATGAGTGCAAGCCAACTAACCAAGCGCTCCTCTTTTCTTCTTCTGTTCCGTTTCAGCTACAGCACAAAACCACAGCCAAATCGAACGCAACAAAGCTTCCAGAGTTAGGCCAACGAGGAGGAGGAGTGTCCAGTTTCTTCCAGGAGGAGCAGCAGATCCACACACATACCATAGTTACTAGTAGCCAGAACGCAGCCAGCCATGCAGTTGCTACTCAAGTCGATCTTCACCTGCGCACTTATTGTGATCTTCGTGTACGCCACCGCCCAGTCGCTGATCGAGCTCCACAGGAACGAGTCGCGGCAGGAGCTCTATGGCATCAGCAGAAATCTCAGCCAGGAAGGCCAGAGCTCCTTCCTCAGCCGAAGGCTGCGGCAGATTAGTCTAGGAGAGGATGCCGACGAGGGGATTGAGGACCCCGATGGGAGCCTTGCGAAAAAAGCAGAGAGCGACTTAAGTCCGGACAAGGAGGAGCTGCGCGAGTGCAAGCCGGGCCTCGTGCTGCCTCTGTGGCTGCCACAGCGCAACATCTCCGTTGGCGACCGCCTCCTCCGAGGCTTCGCCTACTTCCTGCTGCTCATCTATCTGTTTGTGGGTGTGTCCATAATCGCCGACCGGTTCATGGCCGCCATCGAGGCCATCACCTCCATCGAGCGAACGGTGACGGTGCGAGGGCCCCACAACGAGAAGCAGGTGATGCATGTGCGCATCTGGAACGAGACGGTGGCCAATCTCACGCTGATGGCCCTCGGCTCCAGCGCCCCCGAGATCCTGCTGTCCGTGATCGAGATTTACGCCAAGGACTTTGAGAGCGGCGACCTTGGACCCGGAACAATCGTGGGCTCGGCCGCTTACAACCTATTCATGATCATCGCCGTGTGCATGATCTGGATACCAGCTGGTGAGGTGCGCCGCATCCGGCACCTGCGCGTCTTCTTCGTGACCGCCGCGTTCTCTATCTTCGCCTACGTCTGGCTGTGGCTCATCCTGTCCGTGTTCACGCCCGGCATCATCTTAGTGTGGGAGGCGATCGTGACGCTGCTGTTCTTCCCACTGACCGTTCTTTGGGCCTACATCGCCGAGCGTCGCCTGCTGGTGTATAAGTACATGGACAAGAACTACCGGGTCAACAAGCGCGGCACTGTGGTCGCCGGCGAGCACGACCAGGTGGAAATGGGTGCGGAGAAGGGCACCAAGCAATCGTTGGCCATTACTCAGCGCGACAACGATGCCGAGGCCTTCGACGAGGCCCGTAAAGAGTACATCAGCCTGCTGTCTGAGCTTCGTCAGAAGTATCCTGAGGCCGATCTTGAGCAGCTGGAGATGATGGCCCAGGAGCAGGTGCTGGCGCGGAGCAACAAGTCGCGCGCCTTCTACCGCATCCAGGCCACCCGGAAAATGGTCGGCAGCGGCAACCTGATGCGCAAGATCCAGGAGCGGGCCCACAGCGACCTCACCGAGGTGAAGGCCCAGCTCCACCCAGCCGACGACGACGATAGCGATGATCCCACCCGCATTTACTTCGAGCCGGGTCACTATACGGTCATGGAAAACTGCGGAGAGTTCGAGGTGCGTGTGGTGCGGCGCGGCGACCTCTCAACGTACGCGACCGTTGAATATGAGACCCAGGACGGCACCGCCTCCGCCGGCAACGACTTTGTCGGCAAGAAGGGCAGCCTCAGCTTTCCGCCGGGCGTGGACGAGCAGCGCTTCCGCATCGAGGTGATCGACGACGACGTTTTCGAGGAGGACGAGTGCTTCTACATCAGGCTGTTTAACCCCTCCGAAAACGTCAAGCTCTCTGTGCCGATGATGGCCACCGTCATGATCCTGGACGACGACCATGCCGGCATCTTCGCCTTCACTGACTCGGCCTTCGAGGTCTCGGAGTCCGTCGGTCGCTACGAACTGAAGGTAATGCGCTACTCCGGTGCCCGGGGCACCGTCGTCGTGCCCTACTGGACAGAGGGGGACACCGCCATCGAGGGTAAGGACTTTGAGGAGATACATGGTGAACTGGTCTTCGAGAACAATGAGTCAGAGTGAGTACCGTTTTTTACCTATTATGTATGATGTAGCTCGAATAGTCGTCTTCGTAGTTTAAACTTGAAAAAATGTATACAAAGACTTAATATAAACACCTTAAACGAGAGGCTTATTCTATTTAGGTTCTTATGGAATCTATAATATATTATAAGAACTCTCTTCGCTTGTACTCCTATTCTGTATTCTAAGAGTTAGCCTTTATGTTTCGCAAGAGAACCCGTTTTAACTTTCAGGCTACACCTTAGCCTACATGTGTCAAAAGTATTGATGGGAAGCATTTTTCCGGGTCTATATAGCGGAAAAGTGGGTTAAGCTGTGCCCACACACATGCAGTCCTGGACAATTTCTTTGCCCCCCGATTCCACATGCCCGATGTCACGCAATGCGAACTCCCGGAGGAGTCTTTCGGCGAACTCGCAATTTCCGCTCTGGGAATAGACAGGCTGGATGTGCGTGAGGGAGTGCGCCGCGAATCGATTAAAGTCGGAATAATTGGGGCTTTTAATTGCCACACCAGCTGCCAGTTGGCAATGGCGATGGCACTGGCAGTGGCCGGGAGCGGAGTTTATTCGGGCCTTTTGCAAAATGGCAAACACTGTGCGTAGTCCTCCTGCACTGCAGCACCTGCTCCGGCTCCAGCTTTTGCTGTCTGCTCTCTTATTCGCCTATTGCGGGTCCCATATCCCGCTGTGCGACCATGGCCCAATTGTCCTGGCTGCGTGCTGGGTGACAACGCCAAAGGCAGGCCAGACGTCCCTGTTCCTGTCCCACCCAGCCATTAACACCCAGGGAACACAGCCCGCTCTGCCGGGGCTGTAATTAATTTTGCAAAATTTATTCATTTTGACAAACATTTGGCAGACGACAGCCGCACTCAGTTAACTGCGTTTGCATATGTTTTTGCGGCTTTCATGGCCATGTCCCAACTGTCGGGCAACACGCAACATGGCCACATATAAGTCAGGCGTGGTTGGTTGGTCTGGTTAGGTGCTGGCGGGCGCTCTAAGATGATTTATGGCCCGGACGGATGGCCAGCATATGTCGGGAATTAGGCTGCCCGAAAATCTGAGAACTGCCTTCAATTTGATGGGAACTAATAATGATTAACTTACTGACTTAATTAGAGCGCAGACAGGACCTTTTACACTGAGAAAAGGCGTTATTCAAAGAGGAATACTGATGGACGATAACACCGTTTAGCTCATTTTTTCTTAGGACAATTTTTGGTATTTATGCTTAAAATTAATTAATGATTTAATGGTTTTTATTTCTGATGAATTTCTAAGTTCATAAAAGGGCTTTGAATATATTTATAGACAAGGCCAAGAACAAATTTCCTTTCACTGCCTCTCGGGTTCATTATGTGCAGCAGTTCCTCCGGGACATTTGTCCTTTCTTAGTTATCCCTTAGACACCATCGCACAAAGCCTCATTTACGGCAGCCCCGCCCCAGTTTCTCACTTCCCGCTCGGGGCTCTTTTGCGCAAAATTGTTTGAAACACGTCGCCACAGACATAACATGAATTTTTGAGGTTTTTGCATTATTAAGTTATAACGAAAGCGGAGCGGGCAATTAGAGGAGGGCACGCTCTCGTACGAAAGTCCTCGCCGGGCATCCTGGCGGCGTGTGAACGTCAACGGGGGAAAACTTACACGAATTAAGTGTCAACGATGCCGTGCGGCATTCGCACGCTCAAGTTTTGTGTTGTGTGGAGATGGTGATGGCGATGAAGATGGCGATGTCGTGCCATGTGTCCGGGTGAAACGCTCCCTAAGCGGTCGTTTGGCTGGTCCGGACTCCGGAGTGGAGAGTCAGTGTAACCGTTTTCCCATTTGCAATGACAGTTGGAATACTTTTTAATGTCTGTGTTCCGAGTGGATGGATGCAATTGCTGTAGCAATTATTTTCCAACTTTTAAAGCTCTTCATTGTCGCCGCTGCCCGAACCGGATTCCCCCTTCTCCTGCGAGTAAGTGCACGTCCTGGTGCTCCTTGCCCATCCTGCGCTCCTTGCGGGCCTTTTGTAGCGTTTACAGCCACTCAAGTTGAATGCCTTGCGGTGCCGTTGGTAATAATGTTTGTTTTAACGTTGCCAGTTTCGCCGCCGCCGCCCATCCTCGCTGGCAAAGTGCCAAGAAAGCCGAGAGAACCGAACGAACTCGCGGACCAGCTCCCACACATCGATGACGGTCTCGGGGGCATCGCTGCCTTTGGAAGCGCGCTCCTGAGAGAAACTTGCCGTAAACTAGCTCCCACAATTAAATGCCGCATTTTGATGTATTCTTAAAAGAGCTCCGTAAAGCCGACCGACCCGAGATAAAAATTAAACTGTTGGCGAAGCTACTTTGAAGTCGATGCGTGCGTCTGCGGCTGCAATAAATCTCCTTATTTCGCCAGTAGGCCTCAGCGCTTCTCGCTGCTCTTTAATGAAAATCGGAGCCCGTCTCTCAACGGATATAGGTGTAGATATACAGCCATGACCAGACGTGGGCCAGCTTTCGGGCGGCGGAAATGCGCAGCAACAGCAACCATGTAGTCGGGCTTCATAAAAAACAGAACCAGCAGCAGGAGGAGTAGTAGAGCTGCCATAAAAATCCCCAACGGAACTGGGAAAGCGAAAAAGGGAGGCTACAAAGTGCCAGGACTGTTGCATAAATTTGTATAATCCGCGGGGGGTGGGAGTGGGGACGCTTAGATTGAGTTATGGGACCTTAAATAACCAACACACTTGCAGCGCTGTGAAAACTCGGGCTAGGTCGAAATCCATTGCCTACTTTTCCGCGCCGCGCTTAAGATAAGCTACCCGGGTGTAAAGGCAACACTTCCATTAGTTAAACCCGATAGGTTTTTCAGACAACCTCACTGTGCGTGGCATTTGTTAATTAGCCACCATTTAGGCGGCTTGCCACATGGCCTAAATGCTGCTCCTCCGAGAGACAGCAAATTAAAGATTCCCTTTGCGGTCCTGGGCGGCTTCAAGGCTCCTCTTTAGCGACTAGTCGCTAACGTTTTTTGTAGACAACACCGAGTGAGCACCGCAAATAGGATGCTGCGAGGAGAGCACATAAAAGTCAAACATAAAATGTGTACAAAGAACCGCAGAACAGAAGCAAAGATAAGAGCAAATATTTTATTAAGCACACATAATCTAAAATTGAAATTTATGCCATATCCATCGGGCAAATCGGGGCGGGGCACTCGGAAACCCAACCAACTTACAAGTTATCATCGTCGTGGGCGGCTTTGGCTTTCACTGCTCGTGTAGCATTTCCTGTGGCCGGCGGGCGAATTTCCAGAATGGCCCAGCTGCTTAACTGACTGACAAGTAAGCGAAGTCTGCATCCAAGTGCTTGTCCTCGTCCTTGTCCCAGTCTCCGTCTCCGTCTCTGTTACCGTCTCCGTCCGCCTCCGTTTTGTGGCAAGCTGCCTAACTGCCAGCCGTTTCCCATTCATGTGAGCGTGAAGAGGAGCAAACAACCGCAGTGCCCTCTCGCCTAAGCCCATTTGGAGGCACTCAGGCACTCCCTGAATCCCGGCTCGGTTGTCAGGACTCAGGAGTCTGCCAACCTGAGAGTTCGCCGCGCAAGTAGCTGATTACTTGTGGGAATATTACCGAACAGTGTTGGGAGGGCAGGGGCTAATAGCTAAGTGATTCTATGTAGTACTAAGAATCTAAGGGAAATATTAAAAATCTAAAAAACAACTCTGACAAACAATAATTTGTGCATATTAAAAAAAATTCTTTGATTAGACTTTAAATAATCAGCGTATTCCAAGATATTTATTGAGATAAAAATCAAACTATGCAAAAATATATTACAACATTTTCTATTATAACTTGTGACATATGAAAAATGTCTATAAAATAGCTGAGCTTGGCAGCTTCGGTTGCCATAGAAAAGCAACAGACTGCATCTCATGTGTGTGCCATTAAAGCAACCAACAAGACACAATGCACTGTGGGGTTTTTGACCAGTTTTTGTGGCATTAATTAATAACTCGGTCAGTTTTCGAGATATCGGTATGAAACTTTACATATCGTCATTTTTTGTCCCTAGGCACATATAGTAAGAAAATCGTTCGGATCAGGAAACTATATCCTATAGCTCCCATAGAAACGATCAGGTAAAACTTAAGATAAATTAATGAAATTTAAGGAGCTGAAATTTGTTGCTCTTTTAATACTATATACCAATTTTGAACAAAATCGGACAACGCTTTCTCTAGGAACAAAAATAACCAAAAGACCGGAATTCAGTGTTTTCCCATACAAACAGCTACCAAACTGGCGTTGAAAACAGTGAGGTTATCTAAGAAAAATTCAAATTGCACCAAAAGTGCGGAAAAGTGCACAATAAGACTAATTGATTTTTGCTCAGAATTGACAACGCTACAACATACACTTGGACGCATTAAAAACTAATGCGAACTTCTATTTCAAAACTCTTCCCAAAGTTGAAATTTGTTTCTAAAAATTCAGCTTAAGGTGCATTTATAAAATGACAAAATGACAGTATAAACACGCCCAATTTAAACAATTAATACATTTAACATATAGTTAAAACCTGTGAAATCAGTGTCCATTAGTTTTTTCTTTTGCAAATTGTGTCTTTCACGAATAGTTTAATTTCAAAGATCACTTCGTTAAAATGGCAAACTTTGCAGACGCGCTTTCGGATGCAACAGCTGACTTTACAGCTCTGTTGCTAACATATGCTGTTAAGTATTAACATTTTGAGTATGAGGCATAACAGTTCGATGTTTTGTTAATGCAATCCCACTATTTTTTTTTAAATTTAAGAACTTTTAAAAAATGATTAAATGCCACAAAAAGTGGTCAAAAACCCCATAGTGCAATGTTATTTACGAGTAGCTTCGGACTCCTGTGTATATACACAAAGGGGTATCTGCCAGTCGATCGGCCATGCCAGTCGGTAGGCCAGCGTTTCTTATTTGCGATTCAATTTGCTTTGGGGCTCGTCTCCTCCGCTCTCCG